TCAGGTCACTGACCTTTCATTTCATCATTACCTTCTCAAAGTGGAGATTCTTCAGATCTGCTGGAGTGTCAAAATATATATACTTGTTCTCGAGGATTGTCAGTAACGTGTCAGAGCTTAAATTTTTGGTTAAAAGGATGCATAAATATTAATTAAGTAATAACTGGCAACATAATTAGTTCGGGGATGCACCATTTGATGATGGTGGAGCCAACAGCTGGCCATAATTGTGAATATTACAAACAGAAATATCCCTAGCTGAAGTAGTTCCTAAAGTGTCGTACACTGGAAGAACTGCCAAAAACCTTGGTTTAAAAAATGCACTTCTTGCCAGCTTATCGGCTACCCTTTTCTGTTCCCTGCATACGTTTCTGAGAACTGGTGCCCCCAACTGCTGCATTAGTAACCTGCATCCAAAGATTATGTTATTATATGTTAAATGGCCATTAGTTATCATGGTAATAGCTTCTACTGAGTCAGTGTTGATCTCCAAAGGTTGGAGATTTTTCTCCCCTGCTATTTGTAGCCCATGGAAGATTGCTAGAAGTTCTGCCAGGTTGGTGGTAGTATGAGCGTAAGTCTTAGTGTAACCAATAATCCAATTCCCCCCTATAGTCTCTGTGAAGTAATCAATATTTTCCTCTCATAAAAGATGTTTCTCAAAGAACAACTAGTGTGACATTTTAGGAAGAGTATTGCAAAGTAGATATCCTCCAAGAAACTATGTTTGTAGGTGTGCTTCTCCATGACTGTTGACATGTGCTTACCAACTTATCAGCCTAAAATTGTATTTAAAAAAGGGCTTACCAAACACAGTTCTAAGTAGATCATCTTATCAACAGTTCCTCAAAAGGGCTTTTTTGAAGGAATTTTGAACTTCGAAGTTAAAGAAGGTATATTTTTTGAAGTATGGCTGTTAAATGGAACTCTTTTTTCCCAGAGGTCTCAAATACTGTTTTATTGGTTCTCTGGTGTTATTTCAGCATAAAAAGGTCGGAATGCTGGGTTAAGTCATCAGATTTTCTTTTTCCTTTTTTTTGTGGTCAAGTCAAAGGTTTCGGGTTTTCTTTGTTATCTGGTGATACTTGTTTCACCGTAAAGAGGTTTAATGCTGGTCTGTGTCTTCAAAATTTTCTTAAGAAGAGTGTACCAAACAAAGTATTAGTAGTACACAAACCTAATGCATGCATTATTTTTTCTAATGCGTCCTACTTGATGATAGAGGCTTTCACTGTGCTTTTTAAATGAAACGTCTCTCTATCTGCAGTTCTATGATAAATTTAATATCCGCCACAACATTGCTGAACTGCTTGAATATCTTTGGCAAGTTCCAAGTCACCGGAATGCATGGAGACAGGTTGGAGTTTTTATCATTTTGGGTGATATTTTGCTCTGAACATTTTATAACACAGTGCGTGAACTACTCTCCAATAACACTCATCTGTAACTTCAATATTGCAGATTGCCAAGGAGGAGGAGAAGGGTGTTTACTTAAATTTCTTAAACTTCTTGATTAATGATAGCATCTATCTTCTCGATGAAAGTCTTAATAAAATTCTTGAACTAAAAGAGCTGGAAGCTGAAATGTCTAACACAGCGGAATGGGAGCAAAGACCAGCTCAAGAAAGGCAGGAGAGAACCCGTCTGTTCCATTCACAAGAGAATGTCAGTTTTAAATCCTTAAATGTTTTTATTTACTAAAGTTATGTAATATGTTCATAGTTTAAGTGAAATATGCTGGTTGTTTTAGATAATTCGAATTGATATGAAGTTGGCAAATGAAGATGTGAGCCTGTTAGCATTTACTTCAGAACAAATTACTGTCCCTTTTCTTCTTCCTGAGATGGTATGTTCACTATTCAATATCAATTGTTGTTGTATCGTATTATAGTCTGTGAACCTGTGGGTTTTAATCTTTTCGCTTATTTTTTCTCAAATTGGTTTTCCAGGTGGAAAGAGTTGCTAGCATGTTGAATTACTTCTTACTACAGCTGGTGGGTCCACAAAGAAAATCTCTTAGCTTGAAAGACCCTGAAAAGTATGAATTTCGTCCGAAAGAGTTGCTGAAACAGGTGAATGAAGTTCTTTACATATGTTGATATTGCCTATGGCAGCTAACTAAGACCAGATGGCATTAGATGTCTGTTAATTCTACTTCTCTGTCCTTCACTAGATTGCTTCCTCTCTACCTAAATTGGCCTCATTGCCCCATCTCCAACAGTCCTTGTTTCTAATATTCCCACGTCCCAATAGAGGGAACCTACTTTTACTTGTACAGTTACTAAGCGTAGGAAGTGTGAACAGATTATGTCGAGTTTGCTCGAAACATGCTATATTAACTTCAACAAAAAAGTTAATAGACTGGATGTGGAAAGAGGATCACTTGATTTTGTGAGATGTCAAATAGAGTTTGAGATTATAGAATAATTATTTTGTTCCGGTTTTTATCAGACATTTCCTTTTGGGACTTCCCAGCATATTTTAAATTTCAAATAGTCAGCTGTTTGGAAGAGTTCGAATCCTTCTCTAGACAAAAGTCTGGTATTTAAGTGGAAAAGGGTAGAGAGGCGGGCTCATTATCCAATTAATGAATAAATATAGGAAGTGTTATTGATACGCCCAAAATGTACCATTAAGGTGTTGTTTGGTAGCATTATAAGAATAATGCTAAATAAGATGTATTAGAAATGCTTGCATTGTTGAGATTATTTCTTATGCAGTCTTTGGTTTAGTGTATTAAAAATAACATACATTGCATACAACAACAACAGCATACCTAGTGGAATCTCACTAAGTGGGGTCGGGGCACGGTAGAGTGTATGTAGACCTTACCACTACCCATAACATGCATTGCATAATTTTCACAGAGAATAAGGTGAAATCTACTTGTTCACTGTAATGCTCGAATTAAAGTCTAAATTCCTTGAGGATAACGGGGAAATAACTTAAATTTGATTTTAACACTAAAAGTTACTTATGGATTTGATTCAATAAATAAAGGGGACCAGGGCTGTGTTTCCAAAGAGGGAGTAATGCAATTGTGTCTTTATTTAAAACTCATTTAAATGCTTAAATATGCAAAATGGTGATTCCAATATTTTCTCTAAATCCTTTCGACCCAATTAGCGAAATTTCATCTGAAGTCCTTTCGGACCTTGTGTGATAAATTAATCGCACCATAAAAGACGGGTTGACTTTTCTTTTTAAAGCTCAAGTCATAAGATGTGTTTAAAATCCCAAATCCCCGCTATTAATTTCTTTTCCTAATCTTAATTTATTTTCGATCAGATCTGGGTTGCTGCATTTCTCAAGCATCTAGTATATTTCATTTATATGTAGACCTGCAGTCTGGTTCCGCAGGCCGCATATTAGGGTTTTTCTGTGTTTTGCTCCTTTTTGGCATCTTAAAGTCTATGCATTTGATGCCAAATGAGCTGTAATTTCACGGCTCATCAGTTGTCTGTTCAAGAATCCAAATCAAGCAATTTGTTGCATATTATAGCACCAAATATCAGTTGCATACAGTGTTGCTTGAGCTATTGTATTTCCTATAGTTTCATTGTTTTTAACTAAATCTAGTATGATTGTTGATGGGGTCTCTGGTCTGAATTTTGTCAAAGCTGTCTGTTGGTTCTTTTCTTTCTGACACAAACGAAAGTGTATTTCCTTATTAGTTAACTTTTTTTTGTCTCAAGTTTTTACATTGTCTTGGTAATCCTCTGTTCCATGAGAGTCACAAACATTTTCATTTTGGTTAGTGTGTCCTTGTAGACCCCATATTATCCTTCCCAGAATCAAGAGGAAGATACTTGTGCAGAAGTTTTACAATTTCCTTTTTTGATGAAGAGACAGTTTTACAATTTCTTTTGTAATGCATGTGAAGATTGTGAAAATATATGTGCATTTGGCAAGAGGAGATAAGGAGAAAATTTTTCCAGCTGCAATTATAAGAGATGGCCGATCGTACAGTGATCAGGTTCTTACTCTTCAAGTTAATTGCTTCCTTAAAATCATTTCTCTGATTGAGCTTTGGTGTAACAAGTTGGATTTGCTCCAGATATTTAGTGCTGCAGCTGATGTCCTTAGAAGAATTGGTGAAGATATGAGGATCATACAAGAGTTCATCGACCTTGGTGCAAAGGCCAAGATTGCAGCTTCAGAAGCAATGGATGCTGAGGCTGCTCTTGGAGACATTCCTGATGAATTCCTTGATCCAATCCAAGTAAGTATCGCCTTTTTACTCAAAAGTCGAATCAAGCAGCTCCTAATTCACGAGAGATAGATAGCATTTGTATTGACCTATATCTTTTCGATTTGCAGTATACTTTAATGAAGGATCCTGTCATTCTTCCTTCTTCGAGGATAACAGTGGACCGGCCTGTTATTCAGCGGCACCTTCTTAGTGATAGTGTAAGCCTCCGTTTCTTGGTGTCTTTTATTCCACTTATGAGGAATATTGCAATTTTTCACGTGTTTCTACTGGTTTACAGACAGACCCATTTAACCGATCTCATCTAACTGCGGACATGTTGATTCCCGACACCGAGTTGAAGGCGAAAATCGAAGAGTTCATCCGGTCCCATGAACTGAAGAAGCCTGGGGAGGATTTGAATTTGCAACACACAAAAACAACCATACAAACAACTGATACTTTAAATTTGATTGAGTAGGGATTTCTCTTTTTCTGCTTTTTAACCCTGATCATTGTATTATATTTGAGTTCAAGTGATCAACGGTAAAACCTGTGTTGGTAAAACATAGAAAACATTTTTTTTCCCTTTCCTGTATGGGATAGTTCTTCTTTTTACTTGTCAGGGTCCCCAATAACTATAGGAATTTATGTTTTGTAAACAAGGGAATCTTCTGAAAAATGGTATATTTATGTTTTTCGAAATTTCATTTTGAATGTTGTCCAACTAGGCATTTTGTTTCCTTACATAATGAGTTGGTCATCCTTTCTTCAGACGATAAAATGGAACCTTAGCCAATCTTTTAGCTTATTTTAGACAAATATGTTATTTAAGTCTTTCAAAAACGGTGATATAGTTCAAATACATTAACCCCTAAACATGAGAGCGCAAATCTAAAAGAGTAGGAAAGACAACTAAATCAGGTAAACTTCCAGCAGAATCCTCAACATTTTTGTGAGTTATTGTCTATGAAATTAACAAATAAAATAAACCGTTGATACTTAAATATGGCTGTTCAATGTAAAAAAAAAAAAACAGGAGTAAAATTTTACTATACATAAGCTGCACCAGAACAAAACGCAAACGCTCAGCTGCTCAGTTGTTGAAATGTCTGGGCATATAGCCATATACATGGAGGACCTGACAATAATTAAAAAGGAAAATCAAGTCATTCAAAATCTAAACACCTGAAAAAAAAGAAGATGCAAAGTGGTCATTATTTTTGTTGGGAAGTACCTGGCGCTTTGTGCAAATAGGCACATCTTCCTTCTAAAACTAGTTTGACCACTTACTCAAAGCTTTGATTTAAGCTCAGCTATCTTTCTTTCTGCATATTCTTGAGCAATTCTAATTGCATTATCGTTGTGGCGCAAAGAAAACTCTGCTAGCAAGATTCGACTTTCCTCACTAGTTAGATCCCCATGGCATCCCTTTTAAAAGAACAAAAAAATCAACTATGTAAGTTGAATCTTCGAGATCATGAATAAAAGATGACTAGATGCTTGTACAGGAAAGAGATTTTAAGCAACTAATATCAACTACGTGGTCACCTTCATTGACCACAGAAGACACACCACCAAAGAACAGAATTTTCCAAGGTACAATAATACAGGAAAGGATTCAACTACTTCAGGTTGATGTCAACAACCAAATTTGGAACAGGTTCAAAAGATTTAACACCATAGGAAAAGTGTGGGAACTCAATTGTTATGAGAGAAGAAACATAGGCAGATGATTGTACCATTATTTTCCAATTACCACAAAAAGTTGAAAAGAGAAGGAAAATGAGAACATACTTTGTAGCTAATAAAACATGTATGACTTTAGCCCACACCCCCATCTGACAATAGAGAAAAAACAGAGCAATGCATGTATCACACAAAATATGAGGTAATCCTAGCGCCTATATTTTATAGTTTCTCCTTTACATTGGATGTACTGCAATCCTATGATCCCCGCTCCCTTCCATCAGAGGAGAAGAAAATTAGAAAAGGACAGAAATAGTATGAAATGAGAATTAAGTGAATGTTCTGCAGTACAACAGAGAACGCACCAAGCGAGAAGTTCTGTCACAGACGGCATGGTGCATAAGAAGGCCAGCAGCAACAGAAACATTGAATGAGTCTACCATGCCTTTCATTGGAATACTGCAGTGCAAGTCTGATGATCCAAGAGCCTCGTCACTTATTCCCCTACAAACAACAATATCTTATCTGGTTGTGGTCCATCTCAGAAAAATTAATCATAGTCCACCCATGCAAAAAAAACTAGCAAAGAAGCAAAATTCCTATTATCTCTGCTTTAACAAGGAAATAGAATAAGATCTTCGGCACAAAGAAAATCGTTAAAATAGAGAATCAAGAAGACAAGAAAGAAACTGATTAAAAAATCTAACATAAGACTGGCCGAATATTCTAATGATTACAGCGTACATGTGACAAAATATAGTGTTCCCTTCCAGCAGGTAGGAATAGGGTCCAAGCTGAACAACTATTCTTGAACCAGGTCAGTAGAGAATATAGTACCTACCTAAGTTCATTTCCCACAACAATTGCAGTTGGGCATGACCAGTCCATATCATACACAGAAACCTACAACAGAAAGACAACATTAAATAAACATCTAGAGAAAGCAATTAAAAAAAAAGAAACACAAAAATGAGCATACCAATTTTCACACTGGCAATGCAGTATCAGAAATAAAAGAGAATCACTATACCGTGTCCATTCCAAGATGTGTTGTTGCAATGCGATAACCACGTGATTTCAAAACTTTGAAGCACTCATGAACAGAATCCCATAGTTCGATATCCAACCATTTCTCAGCTCCCATGCTGACATGTCGATTCTCCCTGTACCTGTAGGCAGATAGTAAATATCAAGGCACTTGCACAAACAATGCTCAACAAAGCTAATTAGCCTATAAATACCGTTCTCTTCCTGCAAAACTAAAAAAATCAACCAAAAAGACAGGTTCTGTTTTGTAGTTAGACAGTAAACCAATACTGGAAATCTTTGCACTAAACCTTTAATCAACATGACGACTAAGTAAACCACAAAATGCTTTTTTTCCCCACTGATTATAACAGTAAGCTGGCTAAAAACACAGGATCAAACATTCTCCCTTTTCTACTTGCCAAATGAAGGGAAATTATTGGATTAAGGCAAGCGTGTTGCCTCAAACACATTGTTGTACATCATGTATTAGTTAAAAGTACATTTGTAACACAAATAGATACTACTAAATCTGCCAATTATCAATCAATATCAAGCAATGAGCATGGTGAGAAACAAAAAGGTATTTTCACCTAAAGTGCTGATTACCTTTTTGAACTATCACAAGCTACAACATGGACTGATTGAATGCCCAGTGCATCAGCTGAGCGAAATGTAGCTGACACATTGCCAAAATCACTCAAACCTTCAACCACCAGACATACTGAATATGTCCGATTCTTTACAGCATGGCGAAACCTCTCTTTCCTCGAATCCATTATATACGGGGTCACTGCTTCCAATATCTCCGAACTACTCAAATACATACTTCCCGCCTTAACTTTATCCAAATATGGAAACCAACGCTCCTGATGACCCAGGCCTTCAGTATCAGGCCTGCGTTCCATTTTCATCAGCTTTGAGACATCATCTTTGTTGTACAGTAACTCCTCTACTGTGTCTTTGGATTTTTCCCCCGGACTTTCAGCGGCAACACGCGGAACTGCCATTTCTTCTGACGTTTCCAGTGAAATTGCTCCTTGAGTGCTGCCATATCGTCTTGAAGGATCTCTACACGGTTCGATTCTGAATGCTACTTACAAATTTCAAAACGAGATTCGACAGAGAACAAGGTTAATACAGAAGCGTATAAACGTAGATACAACATTGAAGTACCTGCTTGTATCATTAAGCAAAAATTACAAAATAGGTACCTGGATTAAGAGAGAGTAGAGGCAGCGGCCGGAAAGAAGAAAAATTGGATGAAATGTGAAAATAAAAACTTCTCCGGTAGCTGCTTCGCGTTTGAAACTGAAAAAAGGAAATTGAAGAGCGAACTAGGGTTTTGCAGGCGCTCATTGCATGTGATTCTTCTCTCACTTACCTCACTACTGCTCCTCAGAGACGGAAATGGAGATTCAGCGGAGGATTGAACTGGACTGGACAAGGAAAAACAGAACGACTCCGTGAAGACCGCGTTCAATTTGGGTCAAGCCCATCTTAAAAAGCCCAACTACTTTTCGGACATCCTTGTTCTAGCTCTTCTTTATTCTTTATATAGATGCGATAAAATATTTATAAATAGAAGATTATATACACCCTCGTCCACTATACTAAAAATAAATACTTAACTATTTTTGTTTGTCCAATTTAAAAATCAAGAGATAACTTATCATTTTATACCAATTTAACATCCGTAATTATTTTCAATTCATTTCCTAACACGTATAACAATTAGGAGTGATATAGTAAAAATTATTTTATTAATTATTTCTTAAAGGAGTGCCAAGACAAATATAGAAAAGTAAACCTGGATAACGGGAAATGTGTTTATATTCATTCAACTATTTTGTTACCTTTAAATTATGAGTATTGCCGCATTTAGTGGACACCCTACTCCATATTGATCAGAACTCCTGTTTTTCTAATTAAATTTAAATATTTGAATTAGCATTTCCTTAAATTTTAAAAAAGATATGTAATCAACATATCATTTTTAGTAGGCGTATGAAATAATATGTGCATTCATCTTCCAACGGTACCATATAGCAGCAGTTTTCAAACAAATACTACTGGTAGTTGACAACTTAAATGAAACCAAACAAATACTGCTGATAGTTGACAACTTAAATGAAACCTAACTCGCCCAAATCACAATAATAGGTATATTAAATGGAAGCAGGTCTTGGACCAGTAGTTGTTAATTGTGTTAGGTAGAATGTAGAACTAATAAGTAAAGAATCCAGTCTTCTCCAAACAAACAGAAAGATTTTCAGGAATTTAGAAACTATATCATCGTTGTTCTTAAACGAGACTCAACAAAGTTCAGTAGATAGATTTTGAAAGATGGAACCTCATATTGCTCTACTTCCAAGTGCTGGAATCAGTGGCGGAGCCAAGATTTTCGCCAAGGGTGTTCATACTTTAGGACAAGTAAAAAAATAAACCTTGCTAGTTCGATTATAAAGATTGGCTTCAAAATAGTCATACCTCAATATCAAATTAACCAAATATCCAAAATGAAAATTCTTAAAACAGAAACTTACAAAATATCAATGGATAAACTAAGGAAGATGAAGTAGGACAAATATATTGATGGATAGTTTCATACACACCAAAATATGTAAATTGTAAAGTGGTAACTACAATTGCACTCGACGACACTTTATCTCTTGAAATGTTTTCATAATACACTCATTAGAAACATCTTTAAATACTTTTTCTCTACATAAGGCACTATGCAACCATTTAAATAGACCTTTTGTTTTTCTTAACTTAAAAAAGGTAATTTTTGTACTTTTTCTTAAGAGAAAAACGGAACAAATATTAAATAAATGAAATGTTCAAGCCTGGGATCGAGAACCCAGGCTGAGTTTTGCCTTTTCTAAGAGAACAAACGGAATAATGAAAAAATTTAAAGAAAACGCCAACACTTGGGCTCGAACCCGCAACGCTGAGGCATCTTTGCACAACCTTAACCGCTGGGCTGTCAACCTTTATTGTGTCAAGGTTGTTCAACAGTTAGTATATATCCAAAAAACTCGATATTTAGTATATATACCCGTAAAAAATTTCCGACGAAGGTTGTTCATCTGACCACCCTCGCCATGTCATAGCTCCGCCCCTGGCTGGAATGGGACATTTGATGCCATTCCTTCGCCTTGCTGCCATGTTAGCTTCTCGTAATTGTAAGGTCACTTTACTTCCTGCCCAGCCTACTGTCTCTGCCGCTGAATCTAACCATTTGAATAGCTTCTTTTCTGCGCATCCACACATTCAACGCCTTGATTTTCATGTCGTTCCCCTCCACACGTCCAATCCTCACGGTGATCCCTTCTTTCTCCAGTTTGAAGCTATCATTCGCTCTGTTCATCTTCTTCCTCCTCTTCTATCTTCTTTATCTCCACCCATCTCCGCTCTTTTTCTTGACATTGCTGCTGCAACGTGCGTTGATCAGCTTGCTGATCATCCATCATTGTCTATATCCTACTACATCTTAAGTACAACTTCTGCTAGATTTTTTTCTCTTCTTTCCCACCTACCTCACTTGACTCTTGAAAGCAGTTGCGAAAACTTGAAGCTTCATGGTTTGCCCTCATTTTCAATATCGAACATCCCTCCTCCTTTGTTCAATCCACAGAATCTCTTCACAACTCAGTTGATCTCAAACGCACGCGCTATCTCCAGAGTTAAAGGTGTTGTTTCCAACACGTTCCATTGGTTTGAGGCGGAGACAATTGAAGCCCTCAACAGTGGCAAGACCTCTATTACTCTTCCTCAGTTTCTGCCAATTGGACCTTTCAAGCCCTACGAAGACCCTGGAAAATGCGCTTCCCTTTCTTGGTTAGATGGACAACCTGCCAAATCAGTTGTATATGTTAGCTTCGGAAGTAGAACAACTATGTCAAAGGACCAAATAAAAGAAATTGGAGAAGGATTGTTAAAGAGCAAGCAAAAGTTCCTTTGGGTATTAAAGTCCGTCATAGTTGATAAAGTAGAGGAAACAGAGCTACAAGAATTGGTAGGACGTTCACTCCTCGAAAAAATAGAAGAGAAGAAACAGGGGATAGTAGTTAAAGAATGGGTGAAACAGGAAGAAATTTTAACACATCATGCAATAGGAGGATTCTTTAGCCACTGTGGTTGGAATTCAGCTATGGAAGCAGCTCAGAGAGGAGTACCCATGCTTGCTTGGACACTTAACGGGGACCAAAGGTTTAATGCAGAGGTGGTGGAGAAAGCAGGGTTGGGGTTGTGGCCAAAACATTGGGGTTGGCTGGGCGAGAGATTGGTGAAGTCGGAAGAGATCGAAGAGAAGATTGAAGAGCTAATGCAAGATCACAAGTTCAGGTCCATGGCTCAGAAGGTGGGCGAAGAGGCCAAACGGGCTTGGGAAATTGGTGGTACATCAGAAAAAGTTGTTGGACAAATAATTGAAATGCTCAAGCTCAAAGTTTGAAATGATTTATCTCACCTAATGAGTTTTTCCTCTTCTTACAAGAAGTAATTTACCAGTTAATAAGATTGCCTGCCAAGTCCAATCAAGATAATCAAATTGTTTACTTATATTACTCAATACAACATACTAAAATCAATTCCTTGACCCAAACAAGCATATGCAAGTGATAAAATACCTAATTGTACAAAACTATTTCTTTTCTCTTTTCTTCTGAATTTGACACAATAGATGTCAGCAACGTAATTGGGGCCATGCCTTTAATCTTTACAAAACATCAGCTCATTGATTTGCACCAGTCATCAGGATGTCTGATTCAATTATCAACTCTGCAAAGCCAGTTCACATATTATTTCTCCCAAGTGGTCTAGGAGTGAGACAAATGTTCCATTTATTCAACTAGCTTCCATGTTAGCTTCATAGAGATCTAGAATCAACTTCATTGCCATGCTATTTGAAATCTATCCTACAAGATACACAGGACTTGACAGACATAATAATTTTCAAACAAAATAAAGCTGATCCAGTTTCCTAAGAACATTATGAAGAAAAGAAAAACGGCCAAGGATTCTAAAGTTAGCCTGGAAAGTTAAATAACATCAAAAGATTTTCAATATGACTAAAACTGCAGGGAACTACCATTTCGGTAGACAGGTTTCTTTGAAATAACATCAAAAGATATTCCATTCTGTTGAAGCCTGTCTTGGAGGTCTGTCGGGCCAAACACAATCCCAGGAGGAAAAACACCTCCTTTTGGAAGATTGTCTCGTTCATTGAGCAAAATAAGGGCACACTGGACTAGAATGATTGGAGTTGTCAAATAACCAATCTCAGGTCCCATTACTCTTGTAATTATCTCCATATCAGGTTTCCTGTTTCCTTGTGACGCAAGGCTGCCATCACTAAACCCCTGTCCAACAAACCACATCTTAAAGGTAGCACTTGCCACTTCATCCTTAGTTGGACCCTTTTTCCTGAAAAATCCAAGACTGAACACTGAAGGGAAGTTCAAGAGCAGCAACCTCCCTATACCAGTTTTACCAAAAAGAGCAATGAACTTTTTTGAGAAAGAAAAAGAGCAATGAACTTGCCAACTGTAATGAAACGAACAACACCTAACAGAGAATTCGAAGTTATATTCATACCAAAGTGAGCTGGCTTTATGGTAGACCAAAATGCCTCCCTCTTCTCAATCTGTTCGGTGCTTTCATTAACACCAGGTAAACCACGGGAATCTTCAGCCAAACATGAAAGTGTTCTCCATACCACAGTTGCATCTGCTGATGGTAACTTTACAGCCCAAAGCCCAACTTTCTTTAGGTGATTGACCATTGGACCATTAGGAAAAGTACCAGGAATCTGAATCAAACGAGAAAATATTGGAGAGTGAGAGAGAAATACTATGTTTCACAGATCTGATGTGTTATTTAAGAAAACATGAATGCTGTCCCATAGCTGCATGCTACATATGTATGGCTTTGGGGAATATTTTAGCTAGCAAATATTGCAGGTATCAAGTGTTCCATCTAAGAATGAATCTCTATCATTTGGTTTGATAAATCTCCATCATTTACTCATTCATTCCACCAGAAATCAACCAAAGGGTTTATGAATCCCTATGATACATGCATTCATGATATCCATCACAAGGTTTATGAATCCCTACCATATACTTGCATCGTCAGTTGTTTATCATGAGGGAAGCAAGACTGAGATGGTTTGGGCATGTGAAGAAGAGGTGCATAAACGCCCCAGTGAAGAGGTGCGAGAGGCTAGATGTTGGGGGTACGCGGAAGTGTAGAGGTAGGCTTTAAAAATATTGGGAAGAGGTGATTAGAAGAGACATGGGGCAGCTTCATATTACCGAGGACATGACTCTAGATAGAAAGGAATGAAGGTCACGTATTGGGTAGAAGGTTAGTAGGGGTAGAGTGTTGTCTTGCCTTGCGAGGGTTTAGGCTTGTTAGTGCCTGTCATAGTACTAGTCGTACCCTTGTAGTTCTGGTCATATGTTGTGTATTGTGTTTCGATAATCACATTATTTTGTTGCGTTATTGTTCTTTTTTATAGACTTTACATTGCTTTTCTTATTAATTGTTATGTTTTCTTCATTATTTTCTCCTTCTTTTACTTGGGTTTGATGCACATGAGCCGAGAGCCTTTCGGAAACAGTCTCTCTACCTCCACGAGATAGTGGTAAGGCATGCGTACACTCTACCCTCTCCAGACCTCACTTAGTGGGACTTCACTAGGTATATTGTTGTTGCCTGTTGGTTGTTTACCATGTTTCAATTATTGCACTATTTTGTTGTTCACCGTGTAGTTAATATGCTTTCTACAATGTTTTCTTCTTCTTTGTACTTGAATTTGTTGCACGAAGATATTTCGGAAACAACCTCTCTACCCCACGAGGTAGTGGTAAGTTTGCGTACACTATACCCTTTCCAAACCCCACTTGTGGGATTTCACAAGGGTATGTTGTTGCTATAAATGTTCGAATTCTTCCACTCTAACTTAATTAAAAGTTTGACTATACTTTCATAGGCATTGATAGACACGAGTATATAAATCATATGATATCAAGATAAATATTTCAATTTTACGATGACTGCAGTTTTACATAACCATAAAATGGAAAGTAATCACTAACCAACAAGGAAGAGAAGTGATAAGATCTTACCACAGGACGAGGCCTCTTGGGTCTGGAGCGCCTTAGTTCCTGTAATTTGTCCGCATTAGCCACACCAAGCACTGCTGACTCGTACGTCCCCAAATTTCCAACAATTCTCTTGTCCGATTCTAGACTAATGTAGGCCTCAACCTTACAGCAAATTGCCGGCGGCATCCACTGTCTCGAATTAAACATCCAGCCTAATTCAGCAGGAATATAATCAAATCCACACGCCGAAACAGCTAACGATCCATTCACCACAGCCTTATCATGGTACTTCACCTCCATCCTCTCCATAAACTCCGGCTCTCCACATATATCCAAGTAATCGCACCCAGAATCAACACAGGCCTCAACGACAGGTTCTCCATAAAGACGAAATGGTCCGACACAGTTGAGGATGATCTTAGTCTGGGAGGCGAGGTGACGGAGTGAAGCCGGGTCGGTGGTGTCGGCGATGAGAATCGGGATTTCGGGTGGCGAGTTTGGGCCGGAGGCCCATTGCAAAGCCTGGGAAAGTTTGGAAGTGTTACGGCCTGCAATGGCGAAGTTCTTCAAGGGGGAAGAAGGAACGTTGAGGAATTTAAGAGCTTCTCTAATGACGTATTTGCCTGTAAAACCTGAAGCACCTAAAATTATCACGTCGTAAGTTGGGCTTGGGATTGCGTTTGGGTTTGGGTTTGGGTTTGGGTTTGGGCTGGGCATTTGTGACATTGCCCGATTGGAAATTGTTGGATGGTGTCCAAAATAGTCCAATATTTTTGGCAAAATGGTCCTATTTCTTTTATATGCAGCATTAGTAGTCCACATCTTTTGGCAAAACGTTGCATTTATGACCCAGCCTCCGTCAGTTTTTAACGGAGAAAAATCCCATGTACGCCTCACGTGAATTTTTTCTTTCCTGCCAAACTTCAATGCAGTAGTAGAGAATCCATCAAAATCAATGCTCCTCATCCTGTAGTTGGTTTGGAGGTGAGTTATAGGAGTATTAAATTTTGTATAAGTAATATTATGTTTGACAATTGATTATGAGATAAATTCTTCATTATAAAATGGGAAAATTGTATATAATAGCAAACTATTAATTTAAATTAAATGATATAAACATAGTTTGATTTAATTGTACCACATAACAAACTGTTGTTATTTCGCCTCTCTCCTGATGAATCTCGCTCGCCACTCTCGTTCTCTCCCTCGCCTCTCTCGCTTTTTATACAAACACAAATGTATAAAATGTGTTTGTGTTTGTATAAAGCGAGAGAAAATTGTATATATACATATATTCTCGTTCCCCTCTTCCAGATGTCGCTCGCCAATCTCTCTCTCGCTTATACAAACATAAATGTATAAATTATATTTCTGTTTGTATAAAGCGAGAGAAAATTGTATATACACATGCAGATACATATACACTTATAATTATACAATACAAATATTCTCCTGCCCAGTTCTCTTTTGTCTTTCTCTCTTTCTCGCTTTATACAAACACAGATTATACAATTGATCTTTTGTATATGTTTATCGAAACAGAAATAGATTATATACAACTGTTTTCTTTTGTATATGTATAGCGAAATATACATATTTATGTTTGCTATCATGCGCAATTATGCAAACTATAACTATAGTATACAAATATGATTTTTGTGTTTGCTATATGTGAAAGTTGTTCTTATAAAATTAATTTTATGTTTGATTTACAATGGTTTGGGTCGTGTATCTACGTCCAATCTACAGTAGAAAAGAAGGTTCCATCGGAACAATTATTTATTTCAGTTCATGGTTCTTTGTCTCTCTTTTTTTTTGAAAAAGAATAAAAAGGGGGGGGGGGGTTGTGAGGAGAAATGACAAGAAGATATTGGAGCATAAATTTGGAAGAGATGATGGAGGCAGGGAGTTCATTTTGGTCATGGCACTAGGAAATGGAATCCTAAAATGGCGCCTTATATCTCTGCAAAGCGTAAGGGTATTCATATTACAAATCTTACTAGAACTGCTCGTTTTTTATCAGAAGCTTGTGATTAGTTTTTGACGCAGCAAGTAGGGGAAAACAATTCTTAATTGTTGGTACCAAAATAAAGCAACTGATTCAGTAGAGTGGGCTGCAATAAGGTCCCGGTGTCATTATGTTAATAAAAAATGGCTTGGCAGTATGTTAACGAATTGGTCCACTACAGAAATATAGGTTATGATTTTTATGCAAGATAAAAATAGCTTAAAAATATACATAAATTTCTTCATAATTAATTGTTATATTGCTAATACATGCATAATTTTTACCAGCTACTCAACGACCTCTTAGATGCCATGAAAATGACAAAGAGAATTTAGTTGTATGTCCCTCTGGCATAATTTTTTTTCATTTTTACACGTAAAGATCTGATTCTGAGTTTGGTATAATTCTTACTTGAGGCATATTAAAATTAAGGTAGCATAAGGGAACAAGTGAACAATGAAAGTTTCAAAATGTTTCTAAACAAGATTAAGGCCCAAAACTCTATTTGGGAGTAATAATAAGAAGAAGAAGAACAAGAAAATATAAACTAAATCCAATTAATGGATAGAGAAACCTCTATCTACTCTTGATGCAATATTATGATTTCTTTGATTATGATAGGTAACTAATGACCCTAACTCCAACTAAGGCATTTTGTTTAGTTGTACGTGAATGCACACGGGTTGCTTCTCTCTTGATCAGAGATCTCAGGTTCAAAACATCAGTATGAAAAAATTCTTGGTAGAGAGCGCTATCGTCGAATGGGTCCTACCTAGCGTGAATTCGATTAATCCAATTTTAATGTAAAATATCAGACACCAAATAAATAAATAAAAGAAAAAAGAAGTGAACGGACACAGATATATGTTAATCATGATGATCCATAAACATGATAGATAAGACGCAGATATAATTAAATTAAACAGAAGCACCTGATCGGTAAATGAGAAAATGAAATGTGAGGAAGAGCCGAAGAGCAAGCCATATATACTTCTTTAGTGATTGCTTCTTTGGGAGCTCGATTTGGGGGTTTATATAGGAAAGGGATGATATTTATTATCACTCAACTCACAAGAGTTTTCTTAAAAAGTCACTTAACTTTATTTTATAACTTAAAAGTTATTCAATTATTGATATTTTATTTATAAAATAACTCAAACTTAATACAGCTCACAAAAATTATATAAGATATATTTATCAAGATCCTTTAATTTTAGAGAATTTTACATGGTAACAATGCACACGTGATATTATTTAGTTTATGACATTCCGTTGTCAGTCGGTATCCTGCGAAGATAAATATACATTGCATAAATAGTTAAATTTATTATATTTTTATAATTAAACCAGAGATGTAACAGAATATTATGCCAATATCAGTTTTGATATATATATAAAATAATAATATGACTTTATGATATTACCGGTAAATATGTAGTATATTTGACTCATGTAATTTTAGGGATCGAATCAAGTACGGCGGGTCAATAAAATGATTAAAATTGTTACTTTTTTATTTTTTTTAAATTTAACTTTAAAAAATTATGATAAATTGATTGAGTGACTTTTTAAGTGAAACATTAATAATTGGGTGATTTCTTAAAAAAAAAAAAAAAACTATCCAATTAACTATTGTCTTGTTGTTTTTACATCAAATTATCCACTATATATAAGATTTTCGTCTTCTATTTTTCCACCTGATCGATATTACAACTTACAAGCATTGGTCTTGACAAAATAAAATACGTTTTCTTTCAATAGCTAATTAAACGATGAAATTTATAGAACCCGAAAAGAGCAGCGAAGAAGCCAACTAAATCTATTGAGTTATTTGTGGTCTTCAAGAATAATATTCTCCGCTTATATGAACACCTCTATAGCACACAAAGACACCATTTTTTAAAGAATAATGACACGCTTAATTTAGCTCTTTTAAGAAAAAAAAACTTACACGAGACGAATTGAAAAATAATAATTGCTAGACGGGGTGGATCTACACCTTTAAGTTAGAAGTTTGGCAGCACCAGGCCCCTTATTTTCACCTATTACTATCGGCATGGACCAGTTTTGAGATACGGACGGACATGAAGAAGGCATGCAGCAAAAATGTTAAAAAATAAAGTCAAAGAAATATGAGGTTGTTTGGAAAACGAAGAAAAAGAAATATAGCTAGTACAAATTGCTACTGATCAGGACACTCCTACAAGTCAAAAAAATATGATTGATTTTATATTTAAAAATATTATTTTTCCAATGCCTATTTGACTTACTATACATTGAAATTAAATGTAATTATCACAGGTCCTTTTCATAAATAAATAAAAAAAAAAAGTAATTATCACATTCAAGAACCCAACATAAAAATTTCCAACCGAAAAATCTAATCGATATAACACGGAATCAAATTTTAAAAAAATCAAACCAACAGCAATGAATTTTGGTTTTCAAATTGAAAAATCAAATCAAACTTTTTAAAATCGAACTGAATGCCCACACAAAAGATCACTGCAAAGATTATCAGTTTCACTGTGTCTAAATTCCCCTTTTATATTGCATGAAGCTTTCATGATTTATTTCTGGTTATGTGAGAGCCATATGGGACTTTGGAGGAGCACGTCTATCTTACATCTCTTTAACTTCCATATGAATATTTTTCTTTTTCTTTTTTGTGTTTTCTTTGAATACGTGAAAGTCACGTTTCTTGCATGTGATTTTCAATATGACTAAAACTGCAGGGAGCAGTTTTCTTTGAAATAACATCAAAAGATATTCCATTCTCTTGAAGCCTATCTTGGAGGTCAGTTGGGCCAAACACAATCCCAGGAGGGAAAACACCGCCTTTTGGAAGATTGCGTCGTTCCTTGAGCAACATTAGGGCACACTGGACTAGAATGATTGGAGTTGTCGAATAACCAATCTCAGGTCCCATTACTCTTGTAATTATCTCCATATCAGGTTTCCTATTTCCTTGTGACGCAAGGCTGCTGCCATCACTAAACCCCTGTCCGACAAACCACATCTTAAAGGAAGCACTTGCCACTTCATCCTCAGTTGGACCTTTTTTCCTGAAAAATCCAAGACTGAACACTAAAGGGAAGTTCAAAAGCAGCCACCTCCCTATATCAGTTTTACCAAATAGAGCAATGAACTTGCCAACTGTAATGAAACGAACAACACCTAACAGAGATTTCGAAGCTATCTTCATACCAAAGTGAGCTGGCTTTATGGTAGACCAAAATCCCTCCCTCCTCTCAATCTGTTCGGTGCTTTCATTAACACCAGGTAAACCACGAGAATCTTCAGCCAAACATGAAAGTGTTCTCCGTACCACAGTTGCATCTGCTGATGGTAACTTTACAGCCCAAAGCCCGACTTCCCTTAGGTGATTTACCAATGGACCTTTAGGAATAGTACCAGGAATCTGAAACAATATTAATGGAGAGTGAGAGAGAAATACTATGTTACACAGATCTGATCGATGTGTTATTTAAGAAAACGTGAATGTTGTCCCCACAGCTGCATGCTACATATGTACGGCTTTGAGGAATGTAATAGCTAGCAAATATTGCAGGTATCAAGTTGTAAGAAGTCCATCTAAGAATGAATTTCTCTTATCATTTGGTTTGATAAATCCCCATCATTTACTCATTCATTCCACCAGAAATCAACCATAAAGTTTATGAGTCCCTATGATCGATACATGCATTCATGATATCCATCACAAGGTTTATTTATGAATCACTACCATATACTCATCGATGTCAACAGTGGGTTCTCAATGTCCAAATGTAAGATTATAGAAGTGTAAACATTCTGCAAAATGAGAAAATGACTTTAACATAATTCACTGGACATTGACTAAAAGTTGCACCTTCAAATTACACATAATACCTAATCGACCTCTCAAGCTTTAAAGACCAATTGCTTGTCACCATACAGCATTTCACCAGTGAAAGAAAAAGTAGTGAAGCTAGAATAGTTACGCAAGCATTTAACGATGTGATTGAACTGAGCCTTCCAATATCTATCATCATTTGTTTGCTAGGTTTTGGCTACTGCACTATCTTGTTGTTGTTTGTATTTTTTCTTTAGGTTTTATATTATCTCTCTTAATAGTTGTTATGTTTTTGTCATTGTTTTCTTCTTCACACCTGAAATTGCTGCACTTGAGCTGAGAGTTATTCCGAAACAACCTCTCTACCTCCATGAGATAGTGGTTAGATCTGTGTACACTCTAATCTTCCACCACAATTGTGGGATTTCACTCGGTTGTTGTTGGATGTTCAAATTCTTTCCAATCTAACTAAGTTAAAAGTTTGACTATATTTTCATACAGCATTGATAGAAAGTAATGAGCAATAGAGAGAAGGTGATAGGAACTTACCTCAGGACGAAGCTTCTTGGGTCTGGAGCGTCTTAGTTCCTGCAAAATGTCTGCGTTTGCCACACTAAGCACCGCTGACTCGTACGTCCCCAAATTTCCAACAATTCTCTTGCCTGATTCTAGACTAATGTAGGCCTCAACCTTACTAAATATTGCCGGCGGCATCCACTGTCTAGAATTGAACATCCAGCCTAATTCAGCAGGAATAGAATCAAATCCACAAGCCGAAACAACTAACGATCCATTCTCCACAGCCTTATCATGGTACTTCACCTCCATCCTCTCCATAAACTCCGGTTCTCCACATATATCCAAGTAATCGCAACCGGAATCAACACAGGCCTCAACGACCGGTTCTCCATAAAGACGAAATGGTCCTACACAGTTGAGGATGATCTTAGTCCGGGAAGCGAGGTGACGGAGTGAAGCAGGGTCGGTGGTGTCGGCGGTGAGGATCGGGATTTCCGGTGACGGGTTTGGGCCGGAGGCCCATTGCAAAGCCTGTGAAAGTTTGGAAGTATTACGGCCTGCTATGGCGAAGTTCTTCAATGGTGAAGAAGGAAGGTTAAGGAATTTGAGAGTTTCTCTAATGACGTGTTTGCCTGTAAAACCTGAAGCACCTAAAATTATCACGTCGTAAGTTGGGCTGGGCTTTTGTGATATGGCCCGATTGGAAATTGTAAAACATGTTGGATAGTCTAATATTTTTGGCAAAATGGTCCTATTTCTTTTGTATGCAGTAACAATGGTCCACATCTTTTGGCAAAATGATGCACTTATGACCCAGATTCCGTCAGTTATTTTTTTAACGGAGAGAAAATCTCACGTACGCCTCACGTGATTCTTTTCTTTCCCGGCAAACTTCCAAATCAATGCTCCTCCTCCTGTATTGCAGATTTGCAGAGCATTTATGGCGCCATGAGAAGTTAAATGACCAAATCACATAGAGTCGTTTGATAGAAAATAAATTTTCATAATATATTATTTTTTGTATAATTTATATGGCGCTTGATAGGTAATTATAAAATAATTTACCTAAGTATTAAAAATTAATATAATATTTAGTTGATTATTTAAAAACTCACTTAATTAATACATGTATAAATTATGATGGAATTTATATATTATTATATATAGCATAGAAGGTGGAATAATTAATATCTATATAAAATAACTTTACATAGATTCACTCATAAGTAACTAAGCTCTACTTTACTAATACATGCACGTAACTCTATCAGCTGGGGCGGATCTAACTTTATGGGTGGAGTGCCACGGCACCCAGTGACCTCGGTTAAAACTTTGTATATATACGTATATAAGTAAAATATATGAATATATATTATATCTGTCACCCAATGAATAATATGTTGAATGGCTCAACTGGCGAAGCACAACTCTATCAACGTGAGATTTGAGAGTTTGAATCTCCTTGGCAGCACTTTATCCCCCCCTCCCCCCACAGTTAGTTTCTTTATTTGCTAATCGTTACTTATTTATCTATCTTTAATTGATACGTGCGTTGCATGATATTTTATATTAATTATAGATTGATATTTCCTCAATCCTTAATTAGTTGTCCACTTTTGAATTGACACATCTATTAAGAAAACAATTATTGACATACTGAGATTATTGTTTTACCCCTATTAATTATGAAGTGGATGAATTAAAAGCTTAAGATTTTCAAGAAGTTCTACCTTTTTCAAAGTAATTAATTGAGGGTATAATAGGTAAAAAAAAATTGTCCTTTCTTGATTTGTCAAAATGAACAAGTAATTAGGGACAACTATAAAATGAAAAGTGGACAAGTAATTAGGGACAGAGGGAGTATTAAATTTTGAAGGTCACATAAGTGTTAATAAAAATATGTTTAAATAGTTTCTTTTTTGAAAAAGTTTTTGAAATGATGGATAGTATTATGTTAAAGATTTTGAATTTAAAGGTTCAATCTTTAACGTCACACTAAGTGGAGATAACAAGATTACATGTATTATTTTTATTTTTTTTCAACTATATGGTGTTAAATGACGTATACACATTTGAATTTTTAAGGTGAAAAATCTCTTGTTTTCTCAAAGTTCTAGAATAAGGTCTCTTATTCTTAAAAAAATATATCAAAAAACAAACTATTTAAGAGTATATATTTCATATTAGAATATTTAAAAGAAAAAGACATTATTAAATATGTATATTTGATCAATTTATTTATAGTAATAAAAAAACTAAATAACCCGAATATTTACCATTTAGATGATATGGCACCCCTAGCCTCCGAATCTTGGATCCGCCTCTGTACCCCTTACGATTAGGCCTAAAGAGGTTTTCTTGATTTTATTTTATAGGTTGCTTATATTATTATTATTATTATTTTGTTTTATGTTTTTTTGTGAATTTTTTTTTATCCTATTCGTATAATTAAGATATCTGGAAAAAACATTTTCTAAATTTATTTTGTAAATGGTCGAGAGATCTCAATTCTCAAAGCAATCGACTCTCCTAATAGAAAAAAATTGGATCTAAAATATTTACCCAAAATGGTCGCTCTACTTGTTTTATTGCAACCAAAGTACTGCTTCTTCTGATAGCCCATTTTGGTTTAGAGATCATTTAATTTGGATTACCGTTGGCAGTTATATTATTCTGAAATTCTTCCACGTAGAATACCATTGTAATAGCCAATACGTTTCAAATTTACTAGACAAATAATTAACATCTTATTATATTTTTTCCTATTTACGTCTAGAAATGATTTAAGAAAGTAAATTATCAAAAGCAAATTTCAAAAAAATTATTCCCTCCCTTTCATATTAATTGAATTGTTGAGACATTTTTCATTTTTCAAATTAACTTAATTGTTCAATTTTCAAGACTACTTTTAGAATGATTTTCCAATTTTACCCTTCAGTAGTTAGTATTGGAATTAGTTATTAATTAATGTTTAGTTATTTTAATCATAATTTTGATAATAATTAATAAGGGTAAAAATGGAAAGTTAAGCCTAATTTATGTCTTAATCTTCTTTTCTTAAAAGAGTGTGAAACACCTCAACAATTCAATATTAATATATTACATAACTATTTATACAATATCTATATTACATATAGATGTGGTCATTTTGTTGGGAGGAAAAATGGTCTCATAATATACTTAAACGTAAGAAGCCAAGTTTTAAAATGTTCTTAGACAAGATTAGGGCGCAAAACTCAACTTGGGAGTAATAAAAAGAAGAGGAAAAGAAATAAACTAGTTCCAATTGAGGGATAGAGAAACGTCTATGATATTCTTGATGCATTATTATAATTTCTTTAATTATTATAGGGGGACTAATGACCCTAACTCCAACTTAGGCATTGTGTTTAGTTGTAAAAGTGAATACACACATATATTTTCTTCATTTTAATTTATATAACATAGTTCAAATTCAAGAGTAAAACAAGAAAATTTATATTCAAGATTTGTTTGCATGTTCTTTAAATTATCTTTCGACATTCTTAAAGCTTGTATGTCCAATCCAAATACAAAACTAAAATAAAGAAGTTTGACTCTCAAAATTTAACGTATATCATAGTATATCATATTATAAATCAGAACACATAGAGATAGAGAAGGGAAGAACAAGCACCTTAGTAAATGAGAAATTGAGGAAGAGCAAGTCTTCAGAGGTTAAGCACTTCTTTAGTGATTGCTTTTTGGGAAGCTCAACTTGGGGTTTAAATAGGGATAAATGTTCGGAAAAACTACGCAACTACATATACATTACTATCATATATACTATATTTACCTCTAGTTTAAAATAATTACACATATTACCACTTTTAATAATTATATCATATATTTTAAAATATTTAATCGGATACACAAATTTCTTAATTATGGTATTGAATAATTATCTTAAATTTAAATTCCTTAAATAATGATTCATTGACAGGTCAATTTTTTCTATTCCCATCTGTCGTTGTTCCCCACCTCCATGTCCAACAACCCATTTTCTTCCTTCATCTTCTCCCTCTTTCTTCCTTCATTCTATCAATACATGCATGTTCAAATCAATATTTTGCATATAGGTTTGTTTCTATTGTTTTATTATTCTCATGTATCTGTTAAAATTCATAATGTTTTGAAGTTCAATTTTAAAATTTTTTACAAATTAGGTTTTATATTTTTTTGTTTGTTGTTTCTCAAACTCTTTAATTTAATGGCTGACCATCCTCAAAATCGGATGATTCTTGTTAAAGGTACTATACATTAACAATGTTGGATACACATCAGGTGTACATGTATCCAGTTTAAGAGTTCATGTATCTGACTTAAGATTATATGTATCTATGAGAAGAAAAAAAATCAGATGCTAAAAATGGAAGAATTTTTAAATTTTTTACTTTTTTTTTGGATTAATGATAAGACAATTAATACTCTACCATCCTGATTTGTTCCTAAATTCGTGCATTTTAGTTACATTTTATATTTAGATACACATAATTAAATGTATATGCTTATTATGTATCCGATGTACATGTTGAATATAGTGTATGAAATTGATACTTGATACATCAAATTAAATACTAGATACATATAAAAGATACATGAAATTAAAATTAGATAATATAAATAGATACATGAAATTAATACTAGACATATATAACAAAAATACACGAAATAAATCTAGATACTTCTATGATACATATGGATGTACATGTATGATGCTCATGTATTTAAGTGTTTAGTTTGTTGGATACCTCATATATTGATAATAGATACATCAAATTAATGAATTTATTATTTTAAGAGTAATAAAATGAAATTAATCAAATTACATAACTAAGATATACATATTTTTTGTCTTTTATTAATAATATTAATGAATTTATTATTTCAAAGAATAATAAAATGAAATTAATTAAACATAGATACATTGCTTGATTTCCGCCTTATATTAAGGGATTTGATTAATTTAAATTTTTTAAATTAATTGTCCATGTATTCTAAAAATCCTCAATTACTTCTTTAATTAAGGAAATCAGTTACAACCAATTAATTTAATAAATAAAATATGTATCTCAATTTTAAAATTCGGAAAATACATGTATTTCGCAAATTCCAACTCATGTATCCTAAGCATGAAATATGATAGATGAAGTAATATCTGAAACTATCGAGAATCTTAATAATTAGGACCTAAATGTTTCGTTCATCTCCATTACACTCTTCGTTTTTTTTTTAAGTGCATAGTAGTTAGAGTAACATTTGTCCAACTGTTTTTATAGGTATAGATTGAAATAATTTAATAAATACCTTAATCATAATTAAAATAATTGAATTTTGAGAAAACGTTCTTAACTTTGATAAGAAAAAGGTATCTCGCCTAAAAAATTTAATGTCAATTAATATCACTAATTTTACAAATATCCAAATATTAAAATACTCCCACTCCCCAACTTCCCTTAAAATATAAGCCTTTTAAGAAGAAGAAAAAATTGAATCTCATGCTTATTTTTAATTTTCATTTTTTTTAAAAAAAAGGTGTCCATCGACCGGGGTTACATTTGTGTGTCTTTATAAAATTTATCTATCTTTACACAGAAAAATTTAAACTACTAACTCAATATTTATCAGATTAAAATATATATGGCTATATTGTAATTTAGTTTTTATATCAGTTAAAAAAAATTGGGCGCGACTATAATTTTACAAGAAAATATGTGAAAAAATAAATTTGTCCATCGAAATAATAAATTCAAATTAGTTGTTGAATCAAATAAGTGAGAAAGATTAAATATACTCCTCCATGAATTATTTTTTAAAATAAAAAATTAAAAGGGTATAATGTGAGTTATTTGTATAA